TTTCCATACTCTTTGGGTTGACAGATTTTATTAGGAAATGTAAATGAAGACATGATATAATTAAATTCAGTTCATGTTTGTCATTACAGCAAAGTGAACCTACAAGTCCTGATCCTTGCCCAACTGAGGCTCCCAAGAGGACGGTTCATTCCTTTTGTAAGGTTTTAACTGCATCTGATACGAGCACTCATGGAGGGTTCTCTGTTCTCCGAAAGCATGCTACCGAGTGCTTGCCTCCTCTGGTACTAAGTTTGATTGATCATGTTAATATTTATTGTTAGACTTTCAGTATATGGTATTGGCTTAAACCGTGTTTATTTTAAATAGGATATGAATCAAACAACCCCTACTCAGGAGTTGACTGCCAAAGACCTTCAGGGATACGAGTGGCGGTTCAAGCATATATTTAGGGGTAATGGTTTCTTTCCATTTCAGATTTACTTTACATGTCATCGTTAGGCAACTGTAAATAGTAGCTCTATCATTTTTCCTTTCTTGATCTGCTTTTAATTCGTGATTCCAACTACTCAGGGCAACCACGGAGACATTTGCTTACGACAGGATGGAGCACCTTTGTCACTTCCAAGAGATTGGTTGCCGGAGATACATTTGTGTTTCTCAGGTCAGACTTCTGCAGCTCTTTTTTGGTGATGTGTCAAACTGTCAATGTTGTATTTTTGTAGTCTCTAATTGTATTGGCTTGTTTTATTAGAGGTGATAATGAAGAACTAAGGGTTGGGGTTCGGCGGCTTGCTTGCCCACAGAGCAGAATGCCTTCATCTATGATTTCCAGCCAGAGCATGCATTTAGGAGTGCTCGCTACTGCTGCTCATGCTGTTACAACGCAAACCCTCTTTGTTGCGTACTACAAGCCAAGGTTTAATGTTCTTTCTTGATGCAGACACGGTTGGCAATATTAGCTTGTTATAGTTACCTATGGGCTGAGTTTCTTTGCATTTGCTCTTGTTAGGACGAGCCAATTCATAATAGGAGTAAATAAGTATTTAGACGCCATGAAAAATGGATTCTCTGTTGGTATGCGTTTTAAGATAAGAATCGAGGAGGAAGACTCTCCTGAGAGAAGGTATGTTCGTTTCTATAGGTAGTTCTCTAATGTTTGTCTTTTAATTTTCTGATCCTTTTACCTGTTGCCATTTCCTTTTCAAAATCAGGTTCACGGGTACCATAATTGGAGTTGGAGATTTTTCCCCACATTGGTCAGAATCTAAATGGCGGTCCTTGAAGGTTGAATATAATTTTAAATTATTGATTTGAAATACTAACTTAATTGTTCGTTTTTTATAGTAGTTCTACCCGACTGTTTCTGCTTTTAGATTCAATGGGATGAACCTGCAATGATACAAAGGCCAGATAGAGTTTCTCCATGGGAAATAGAGCCATTTGTGGCTTCTGCTTCTATAAACATTGTACAACAAGCTGTAAGGAGCAAAAGACCGCGACCTGTTGATGTTCCAATTTCAGGTGTAGGAACATTGTTCTTTAAAGTATTTTCAGTGGACTATTGTATGCCGACTTGATTAACTTTGATAATATTAATTGAAATTGTAGAAATTACTACAAATTCAGCTGGTTCAGCTTTTTGGGGCCATGGTTCAACCAAATCTCAGGAACTAACTCAAGTAGGAAGCACACCTGAAGTCCAAAGCAGTGAAAGCCAAGTTATGTGGCCTATGAGGCAGAAAGAAGCGGATTACGGTCTTATCAATATTAGTGGAGCTTATAACTCGAGGATTTGCCCTGAAAATGCCTGGCCACGTTCACCTCTTCTGAATGTCTCTCTAAACCTTTTTCCTGATTCATTGGGTGACAAAAACAAAACTAAAATACCACAGACTGTTGTCATGGAACATGCATCTTCTTTTCAATCGGAACCTAGCCATGGCCTAAAGCAGGAGCAAGTTGAGAAAGGGAAAAAATCTGAGACTTCCACTGGTTGCCGGTTGTTTGGGTTTAATTTGACAGATAGCACTAGTGTAGCTGCCCCCACGGACAAGGAACAAGCAAGCACAACGGTTGGTCACAATTGCGTTACAGAATCTCTTCCAGATGTGTCTCATACTGATCAGAACCCGGAAACAGTGAAGTCTTCAAAGGAGCTGAAGCAAGTTGCATCAGAGACCACTACCAAGGAGATGCAAACTAAGCAGGGTGCCTCTACTTCAATGAGAACTTGTACTAAGGTAAATACCTGCAGCTGCATGCTTATTCTTATATTCCTTTTTCATCATTTCCGTTCCATAATTGAATCAATATTTATGGATACCAAAGGTACACATGCAAGGGATTGCAGTTGGTCGTGCTGTTGACTTAACTGTATTGAAAGGATACGGTGATCTCATTAATGAGCTGGAAAAGATGTTTGATATCAATGGAGAGCTTTGCCCCCGTGGTAAATGGTCTGTTTTTTTTACTGACGATGAGGGTGATATGATGCTCGTAGGTGATCCATGGCTGTAAGTAACTTTGAAGAAGCACACCTGCTTTGTTCATTTTTCACTACTAGTTTTAGAAAATTAAAGTTTTCCCTTTATTTTATTTTTAGGGATTTTTGCAAGATGGTGAGAAAGATCTTCATATATTCAGGCGAAGAGGTGAAGAACATTAGTGCAAGATGTAAAATTGCGGCTTCATCTTTGGAAGGTGAAGAGATTGATTCAGATCATAGGTCTAAAACATGAAAGAAAGTTTGAAATCCCTTTCTTATTTATTATTATATATATGTGGTTTTATCTTGTTTTTGCTTAATTTGATTCGAGTAGTGAATGAAAAGTTGCATTATGGAAAAGTGTGGGAAGTAGGAACATTTGTAGGTTTGGAAATGGAAGGACTGTCATTTGTGAATACCTTTTTCTTTGTTGGGTGGTTTCAGTGAATAATCAGCCTGTAAAATATATTACATATATAAATGTTTGCATTTAGTTTGCACTTAGTTCATTGTTGGAGATGTGGCCTAATGGAATGGTGCTGATCCTTATTGAACATCTTCATCCACATTCTGTCCACAATGATATTGAGGTGATCATAAACCAGGAAAGAAGATGAAACTCACGTGGGAAATTGGATTGGCAAGTGAACAAGGGAAAATTTCAATCCATAGAAAATGGACCAAGTAAAGTCCAAAACAAGCACACTTTTGAAAAAGTGTGCCATGATTCTCCCTTTGGACCATGTCATGTCACTCAAAATTGGATAGGCATCCAATTAGCTTCTTCACTTTCTCAACTCAGAATTTTGCAAAATCTCCCATGCTTCCTTTATGGTGTTGACATTTGCCATTTTTACAAATATCGAATCATCCAGACATTGTTAGATGAGAGTAAGAGCTTGTTGATTTTTCTTCCTTTTCTTCGTCAAAGTCTCCTTTTCTTGTTGTGACAATGACGCCTTGTTTTTAGGGATGGCAGAATGACCCGAATTCGACGGGGAAACCCGATCAAGTTCGGGTCGGGTCAAGTAACGGGGATTTTTTCGAGTCGGGTTCGGGGATGGGGCAAGGTATTCCTGCCCCGATTATATATATATATATATATATATATATATTTATATATTTATATTAATTATATATATAATATTTTATATTTTTATATTAATTATATATATATATTTTCGGGTTCGAATTCGGATTTGGGTATAATATTTCGTCGGGTTCGGGGACGGGGCAAAAAAATCCCCGACAGGGCGCCCTGATAAAAAACCCGTCGGGGGTCGGGTCGGGGACAGGGATTCATTTCGGGTTCGGGGACGGGGCGAGCAAAACCCGCCCCGAACCCGTCCCATTGCCATTCCTACTTGTTTTGTGGAGATTCATAACTATTGTGAGTGATCTCCCAAGCATCTTGTGCCCCAAGTAAAGCATTCATATGGAGACACCAACTTATATAATTATCTTTTGTAAGACGAGGAAATTGAAATGGAAAGATACCATTGTTGGCCATCTTCACGTATATTGAATCAAACTTTGATACCACTTGTTGGGATATAGAAGTATGAAACTTAAACTTGTAAAGCGGAAGAAGAAAATATTAGAGAAACTTTAGAATTGAATTGGAATACCATTGCTTTGCTTCATCACTTACAATCCTTTATATAGGAATTGCAAGTAATTATTAGAATATTACAACTATTCATTACACCCTTTCATCCTACAGTCATCTCAATTCATAATGAATAATTATACCTAATCATATGAATCAACGCACCTATTCATATGAATAATCACACCACTTAAAATTATAATATCCAACAGGCTTAGCTCAATATCTACAAGTTGAGAACAATGCTCACCAACAAAATTACTCCTCTGTTTCGGCTTTGGAACTGCTGAGGTCCAAAGTGGCATCAAGAGGATTGCATTCTTTCGTTCTGGCACCCGCACTAGACTCGACTACTACACCTTACTCAACTAGGTTCTCCATGCAAGACTATAATCAAACCCTTGGTTTTCCCATTGATGGACTTGAAAGTCGAGCTGCAAGCATCCATGGCATTCAAGAGAATGGATGAATGTTTTTATTCCCTTTTGGTGAAATGGAATCGAGTTCATCAACACTAATGAAGTTGATAATCAAAATAAGGAGCAAGGCAATTCAGCTGGATACTGAGCTAGGAGGAGGATCATGGTAAGAAAAACAAAAACAAAAAGAGATCATAATCCAACTGCATTTACTTGTTTAAGGTGTATAGAACTAAGAGATGATATATATAACATAATCAATGGTTTCCTTTGTTTTGTATCATTTTCTACTCTTCTTTGAACAATGTAAACAAAATGAAGACATTTTGGGAAAACCCGATAAGATTATGTTTCTGGGAAAACCTGACATTTTCAATCCAACAAACAACAATATCACCCAACTTCACATTAATGCTTAAAACGAAATGGGGTCATCTAGACACGGGCCTCATGTTTGTTTTTGTAGTAGGAGATGGAATAAGAGATTCAAATATATAAATTACAACATAAAAGCAGTATGAAGATATGTGAAGCGGTGATGAGTGCATAATGAAACATTGGATTTCTCCACTGTACAAAACTTAATCTTAAACTTGATACACTTATTACTCCTCCATAATGTAAAAGAGCTCCTAAATGCAGTCCGCGGACTTGTCATAGAAAACAAAAACAGAAGACACCTTCAACATGTCCTCCTATACGAAGCATACCCATTTTAACAGAGGGGAAGGAGCAGTGGCTTTTCTAGCAGGCAAAGCCAAGTATTCTCAACACCATACTCACTTATCTGCATTGATTCCAAAGATCCGAACTTTGTGCATGTAGGGGAACTTGGCAATGACAAGCACAAGGACTGCAAGTGTGTTCAAAAAGAGCATAGGATGTTGGTAGTCGGTTGTATGCGAGGCTATCAAGTACCTGTCAGGAAACAGGAAAAAAAAAGCATGGTCAATAAAAGTCTCGAGTCCCAGTATCATACTCCGGCAAACGAAATTCAGAGACTAAAAACAGCAAGCACTCTATGGAAAAACAAAAACCATGAATTATATGTTAAGTCATGCCAAAAAAGATTCATGAAAGAGGCAAGAGAATCAAGGATGAAATGCTGTTTGCTATCATCTATCAAAATATTGTCAATGTCTAGTTTGTAAGGCAATCAATCAGACTTCTCTGAGGAAACAAGAATCTGCAAGTCTACACCAAGTTGAAGACAAACTGCAATCCTTCGCAGAGGAGTCTCTCAAATTCCATGGCAAAACTAAAATCTAATCACAGAGTAGTAGTTCTTTTCCTTTTCTCCTTTCATTCTTAATGATATATTCACACACAATTGGTGCTATATTTAAACCCTATTGCCCCTCAGGTCTGAGCCATTCTGAATGGACCAAGTTTCCAGTTTATCTTGATTTTCAAATAACTTCTAATAAAAAGTTCCGATAAACCATTTAAATAAGGCAGGACTCCTTGATGAATGTCTTATACAAAAGTAAAGTATAAGAATTCACAAATAGCCCTGCTCTAAATGAATATGCAAAACATACCACTGATCTAAGTCTCAAGAGCTAATTTACTGAAAGCGATCAATTGACATAAACGTGCTGGTGATGAGTCAAAGAATGTAAAAGAGACTATCATTTTGAATAGATATAATTGAATAACACCAGTTCACTAACGAGAACATATATATCCGTGCAAACATAATCACACTTGATAGATGTTAAAAGAAAAGCAACAGAATAACTATTTGATAATGAAAGGAAACTTTGTACAAATATCACAATATAAAAGTCATGTTACAGAAACCCAGTTGCACTACTAAGGCAAAAACAATGTTATCTATGATTGGGGAACAAAAGAAAAGGCTGAATAATCAACATTCAAAGTTTGAAATCGAAAACATGCATACACACAAATGACAGAAATACGACACAGAATAATAGGACAAAATCATAAGCAATTTCCAAAATTTTGTAAAGCATCATATAAGGAGACTTACAGCACAACAGGTACAACAGTTAGAAACTTCCTATTGCGTGTGAGCTGCTTTCCATTGTCTATCTGCTCCCACCAAGTCAAGCCATTATAAATCCCTTGATCATCAGCAAATGGCGTTCCTTTCTTCCAGTGAAAGAAGTGGTATGTAACCTGAAAACAGACCAATTCAATGTTGGTTCAGATAACTGTCATGCAGATCTGAAGCTAAACAGAAAAACTTAAGGCTTTTGTATTCTGTGAATACAACATAAAATCAAAATCTTTACAAGTGAAAGAAGCACAAGATCAGATACGTTGAAATATCATGATTCATGAAAGCATGAACATTGCAGACGCGGCAATAAACTAGTCGAAAAGCCTATTATGAACAGATAGATGCTGACGTTCAAATAAGTCAATATCTTAATGCAAAATAGAAAATAAAGAAGCACATTAAGCACTTGAGACAGATATAAACAGATAAATAAGCAGGTCCAAAAATACCAGTATATATATATATATACATAACCAAGCTGCCAAACAGCTTAACAAGAGCTAGGTTTGCATTTGCAAAATCTTAATTTTGCAGTAGAGACGTGTCGAGATGATTAGGTAACAAAATTTCGAATATATTCCACACTATATCTCAGATTCTCAATACTTAATGATATTGTTCAGTAGCCAAAACCCCTTGATTTTCCCGTTTCACGTCTATAAATCAGGGCCTACAAGAATTAACTTCAAGATGAAACCATGCAAAACAATGGCACGGTTCATCTGGTGCTCATCAAATCTCCCAGTAGAGTGCAGGTCAGCGTCTCAGCAACTCAAGGCAAAATTCAAACCTTAAACAATATCTCTATGACAATAATGATGCACCACTATCGAAAACACCCATCACAACTCTCAAAATTAAGCCATCCAATTCCAAAGCCAATTTCAACAAAAAAGGGTAAATTACCAGGCATAAAAAGAAACCAAATTGAACATTCAGTAGGATAAGACAATTAAAATTACAAAGAGAAAAGAAAAGGAAACGCACGAGGAAGTGAGCGATATTGACAACGGTCCAAGCCATGCCAGGAGAGCAACCGAAGATGGAGAGAACGAGAAGCCAGGAAAAGAAGAGGATTAGAATATAGGTAGTCCACACACCTGGGTACATGAACCACTCCGTGTTCCGGTTGAGATCCGTCGGCGGCACCGCTTTCACATATAGATTCGCCATATGATAACCACCAAATCCAAGAGCCACCCTGATTTACGATGGATCTATATAAATATCTCAAAGACTTGGCTTTTCTGGGTATTTGTTGGATTTAGGAATCTAGAAAGCAAAATCCCGAACCCTCCCCGTTCAAAGAGTCGCCTTTATCTGTAAAAAAAAAAAAGGATTGGTCTTTATTTGTTCGTTTGAATGGAAACTGGAAAGCTCTGTCAAAAAAGCGTTTAGATTAGTTATCTAAACCGAACATTAAACCAAGCATCTAATCCAAACCAACACGACACCGTCTAAGTTCCGTCTAGGACCAAGAGTATACTAAGACTAGAAACTTGTCGTTTTCTTTGGAAAGGAGAAAGCTGCATTAGATGTCCACTGGAATGTAATCTGCCTAATCCCCTGTTTTATTATAATTTTTTAACTATCGTATTAATTGCTACTTGTCCTTAACAAGCTGCCTTTTAACCATAGGGATTAGAGACTCTTTTAAGTAATGTCACTGTAAGTACATTTACTAATTATCTTATTAATATCTGAATTTTAAAAAAATATAAAATACATTTAATATTGGAATAAATATATCATGTTCAAAGAAATTCTAATTCGATTATTAAATTTATTAATGAATCCATCACATTTTTTTCCAAACAGCAAAAACATATTGCTTTTGCATTTACCAACATAAACCATAAAACAAATGACACTCAGCTAAAAAGGTGATGGATTTTTCGAAGGCCATGTTCTCTCAATCCTTTAATTTAAAGAACAATGGACCAACGCCAGTGCTCTTCAGTTTGACAACGTTGTTTAGTCCATAAGATTGTAGCCAATTGTACGAAACAAAGAAAGTGAAGAGGTTTTTAGCAGCTCTCCTTCCTCTGTAGAATCCAAAACCCACACCAGAAAATTTTCAACATGGAAAATAAAGATTCTAAGAGGTTGGGATGGATGACTGTGGTTTCTTCGCAGAAATCATTATCGATCTCGATTTTGTGTTCAAATCAAAAGAAATAAAATGCCTACTAACAATCCATTTATTCCCATCAACACCCCTACATTTATGTTTCAACACATACTTTTTCCCCCAGAATTATAGAAATACATGGTCCAGCGGATGTTAACATACTCGCATTGTTTAGTACTAACTAAAAAATAAATAAAATGTATAAATGCTATCAATTGCTCCTCCTTAATAGAAAGCTAAACCAACCAGAAAAGTCTTTAAACGCAGTATTCCTTGTTTTCTGTGGAGTCAAACGCGCTACAGATATTTGAAAAAACAAAGGCTCAACGAGTAATCCTAGAAGAACGAAATAATTTTACTGGTACGACCGTGGCATAATGAGGATAATAATCAGGGCTGGGCTTACATTACCAGAATAACAAAATATTGATGTGACATATTTGACTATAGAGAATATCAAATATGACTGGTATTTGACTCTCCACTTTAAAGACCTCCATTCTTTAAGAAAACCTTAATTTACTCTTTTTAAAGTCCAATCTTTTACAACTTTAAAAGAGAACTTCAAAAAGAAATTACAAACTGAAGAGGAGATGAAGATTCGATCGACTTGCCACAGTTGTGAGGTTAAAAATAATAACTAAGAATCGATAATGCATAGCGTTGAACAATACCGAAAAATAAAGATTAATTTTAATATTTACACAACACTTACAACTGTTGGTAATACAAAGAACTTTATATTAGGTATGAACCGTTTAGTGTTGTCCGATTCGGTTTATATATGTTTCTTTTTAAACAATATTTTTTCATTAAAATATTATTTATCAGAGTTTATTTTATTTTTTATAACCGTTATAAAATATTTAATATAATTTATGGCCATTAGAATAATGTTTATGATAATTAATTATTTTGTAACTGTAATTAGCTCTTTTATCATTTTACTCCTAGAGCCTATATATGGATGTTTAATTTTCCATTTTATATGCACTTGAAGATAAATCATCCCTAAGCAATTTGTGTCTGTTTAGAAATATTCTCATTGGTTTTTAAAAACATGCTCGAAATGTCACTTTGAGTTTTGAGAGAAGAGCAGTACTACTAAGTTCACTCCATCTTTCGAGTGTACAAAATTTGGAGAGCCGTGCTAACCTCGGGGGTCATTCATCAATTGTAGTGATTACACACATCATGATAAATTTGCTTCTAAGACAGTGATTAATACCACGACATAATTAATCGATTTTTTATTTAAAAATTTTATTTAATATTTTCCAATCAATGCTAACACCTCGTTTTACAACAATCAATTTTTTCAACAATTTAGAAGTGAAATCATAGTGCTGTTAAAAAATGATTCTTACACGAGAGTGGGAAAATTCAAAAAATTAGCTGACCCTTATTCCCATATGTAATGGGATAAGGGGGAGGTAGGATAGTAGGCTGCCCAACGCCAGGTTGAGAGCAGCTTCCGTAGGAGACCTCCGAATTATGAAATGCCATCCGTGGGAAAATTCAAAAGGTTAGTAAAAAATATTAAAAACGTTTTATATCGTGAATTTAATGTTATAGGTATAACATGCAATTAATATATAATTATAACTTTTATGTTGATAAAGTATAAAATGTTTATAGTTTTTTTTTTAATGAATGAAGTTTAAAAACGTTCATAAAAGCTATTAAATTATATATTGATGAAGAAATTTTGTGATTAATCATCATTGATGAGAATTATAATTGATTAGAAATTTTGTGACATTCAATTATAAAATGATTATTTAGAATGTGTTAAATAAGAATCCATATGTAAATGTGTTATTGGTGTTAAGGTGATACATAATACATAATTTTTGTTTCTATTATGTTAATAAAAGAAATTGAAAACATATTTATTATTTTGGCGATGGAAGCTATTTTATATTTTAATGCATGAGAATGGAATGAAAATAATTAACTTTATTGCAATGCATTAAAATGTATAGTTACAAACTGTTAGTGCATTGAAATAATTATATTATTTACGCAATCATGTATGTTTAGGTTATAATATATTCATCTCTTGGTGAAATTGCATTATGTGTAAGACTGATAATATATAACCATTAAACTATTCGACAAAAAGAAAACCATTGTACAATAAGATGCAATCCGAAGCCCAAAGTGAACAAAAAGAAAAGCATGAGTAGAATCATTGATGAAGTGGATAAAGCATTCGGCTAATGAAGATCCCGCAATACCCGCAGCAACGACGACGGAATCAATTGTTACAGACTCTGCAGTGCTTGCTATACTTGAAAACTTACCAAGAATAACCAACTTAATAAACATAAACAAAGTCAATGTAATTATTCATCGGATAAAAGATGAAAAGGAACTGATAGAATTTTAAAGACATAAACTATGATCAATTTGTTATGAATCAATAATATTAATGATCAAATCATTACTTTTAAGATATTAACAGAGTAAAAGGGAAATTTATTCAAAGTTTTGGTAGTTTACATTAAAATAAACATAAGAACAGGCGTGGTGGGTGTGATCCATGCACTGGCATTTTCTTTATCCATAATAATCACGGTGTGCTTCCCAATGGATTCGGGTTCTGGAGGCTGAAGGAATATCAACGTTAGCAGACAGCAGTGGTAGGAAGCTTCCTGTAATGTTGCTTCCATTTCCCAACTCTAAACCAACCTTATCTGCCCCCGCTTTTGTTCTTTATATTATATTCTCACCGGACCCTTTTTTCTTTGTTTATTTGCTGTTTCACTCTTTCCGTCAACTAATATAATTTAATGAAATTTTTAAATTTTGAATATTAAATTTGACAACAATAATTAATAATTAAAATGAATTTTCTCAAATAGAAATTGAAGGCTTAAAATATGATTAGGCCAATAAAATTTGAGCTTTTAACTTTCTATAAGAGTAACTGACAAAATAAAGGTGTTCCAAACATGGAGTGCGTCACGTTCCCGTAACAAATAGAACCACAAAAGTTCAAAGGATCGGTTGAGACTGACCAAGAACAACACCCTTTTTCTCCCCCTCTTTTCTTATGTTACAAGAGATACCCGTAATTTTTTCAACTTTGCTTTGTCCCCAAGCCATGTTTTTGTCTTGGTCTTATTAATATTCAAAATTTTATTCTTTCCCTTCTTACATTTTTCTTCTTTAAGTTGTTATGCACACTGAAGTTTCCTGTAACAACATTTCAGTCATTTGAGGTATGTTTTTGTTTTTGAGGTAAAGTTTTTTTTTTTTGGGTCATATGATTAACTGAAGTTACAGTTTTTAAAGTTTTGCTAGCAGTTATTTGCCACTAAAAGCAGTTTTCCCCATATCTTTCCTTTTTTCTGGTTTGATGGGTCTTTGCTGTAATTCAGTTGGAGTAATTGTTCTAGTGACTAGTTAGTTCATGCGGTATTCGACATAATTTCATGGATTCTGCTTTTGTTCTGTTTTTGCACCTTTGTTTTTATTATTCATTTCTTAACTCTTTTCACTGTTTAATTATGATGCTAATGGAGGAAATTTTGGATTCTTTTATCTCTTTCTTATCACTTGATTGTAGTTTTTGATCAGTTTTGCAGAAAAATTACATGGTTTTAAGCAAAAATTGAAGTAGCTCTTTTACTTTGGGGAAGTAACCAACGTCGAGGATTCAATGGAGGAAAGACCTTTCCCTGCGTGGTCACTGTCTGTTGAGCAATGTCTGAAAGAGTACAATGTTGAACTAGTCAAGGGTTTGAGTAGTTACGAGGTGGAAAGGCAGCGTGACAAGTGTGGTTGGAATGAGCTTGCCGAAGAGAAAGGGAAGCCCTTATGGCGGCTCGTGTTGGAACAATTCGATGACATGCTCGTAAAGATCCTTCTAGTTGTAGCTTTTATATCTTTCATTCTAGCAAATATGCATGTTAGTGAATCCCAGGAGTCCGGTTTTGAGGCTTATGTGGAGCCATTTGTTATAGTTTTGATTTTAGTCCTCAATGCCATTGTTGGAGTATGGCAAGAGACCAACGCCGAGAAGGCAATTGAGCCCCCTAAGGAGATGCAATGTGAATCCGGGAAGGTTTTAAGAGACGGGTACCTTGTGCCGGATCTGCCTTCCCAGGAGCTTGTGCCTGGTGACATAGTTGAATTGCAAGTTGGCGACAAGGTTCATGCTGATATGAGAATAGCAGCTTTGAAAACAACAACTTTGAGATTAGAGCAAAGTGCACTAA